CTTATTTAACTATTTTTAATTAATATTCAAAATAAGATTTAGTTATTTATTTTTTATATTTAACATATTTAAAAATTAGTTATTTACAATAGTATTTAGTTATTCAAATAATCTAATTATTTATATTTTAAAATATTAACTACATATTGAATTTAATAATTTATAAAATTGTAATTTATACTATTATTATATAATTTTGTTACTACTTTTATGAAATATAAAATTATTATTAATTCAATCATTTTGAAATCTATTATCATTACTTTTCCACTTGTAAGGAATTTTTTCAATTTATTACGTAATTTCGTTATTTAAACTTTTTAAAATTTAGTTATGTTAAATATTCCTTTATTTAAAATATTTAAATTTTATTTATTATAAAGTCATCAAGTAATATTCAATATTATATTATATAATTATTTAGCTATTTTAATATTTTTTTATTTAAAGTATTTACTTATTGAAATATTTAAATAATATTTTTTTAGTTTTATCTTTTTACTATTTGAATATTGTTTAAATAATTTTTATTTAAATTTTTAAAATATTATTTAGTTATTATTTTTAATAATCCATAAAAATATTATTTTTGTATTTATAATAAATATTTTAAAGTTATTACATAATTTTATTATAATATTTAAATAATTCTTGAACTTTTAATTCAAACTTTCTTTAGATAGATATAGATGAGTTTGAATCTGCCCCCCACGAACTTCCACCCCAAACTTACTTTTGAGTTCAAACATACTTTTTGAGTGAAATGGGAGCTAACAAGACGAGCTAACGTCTGTCCCATTAGCTCCATACGAGGTAGAAGGCCCGCTTGTAGAGGACACGTGGCATCTTATGATGCCATAGGACGCTTTTGGGGTGCAAGTTCGTGGAAGGCATATTTGAGATAATTTAGGAAAGAAACTCTCTACTTAATTAGAGATAATTTTAGAGATAAATAAAAATTAGAGATAATTTAGGGGAAGGTGGAAGATAGTGGTGCCATGTGGCTTAATGGGTGGGCTGGGTAGGGAGGAGGAGGAAAGAGAGAGAATGAATGAGACAACTGGAAAGGGGATATGGAGAAAGGAGAGAGGTTTAAGGAAAAAAGAGAGAGGAGGAACGGGAGAAGGAGAGGGCTGCTGATGTGGAGCGTAATCGCTTTATAATATAGTATAGATATGTATACATGTTTGTATACATATATAAATATTTGTATGCATATGTATATATAAATATATATACACACATAAATACATGCATACAAATCAGAATTTATCAACTATAAAGAAACCATTAGAATTTGCACAAGTAGAATTAATCCAATCATAATATATCAACAATAAGAAAACTATTATCATTTTCATGCACAAATAAAACAAAATATATTTTGTAAAATCACATGTCAAACACAACTTTAATAAAGAGAATCCCCTCCTCCCATTTTCTGTATTTAAATTTGTCATTTATTTATTTTACTTATGAAATTCTCTTTACTACTTTTAAGCTCACTAGATTAATCATTTATTTATTTTACATTTTTTCTATCGTATCTCAAATTATCAATTGTTTAATACTTTTTATTATTTGATTATTTGATTATTATTACATTTTTACTTTTTATTTTATTACTCTCTTTGACAATATATATATATATATATATATATATCAAAATATATAAATATAGTATATAATATGTCATATTACATTGGCCATTTGTTTTTTTCTAGCATATATCATATTACCAAAATTTCAATAACTTTTTATTATTTTAGTATTTTTTACCTTTTCACTTTTTTATATTGGTTATTTTTACAATATAATCTCTACATATAAGTATGTTATATGTATTCATTCAAGCAAGCATACATACACATACATTCATACTATAATTAAATAATATAAAATATAGTATATATTATATCATATTACATCGTCCCATTTGTTTAAATATTTTTTCTTTGAACCCAAATAGATTGGTTTAAATAATGCACTCAAATATTAATGAACAATTAATAGTAAAATTAATTAATATTAATAATATCCATTGCTAATTAGTAATTACTAGTAGAGTGCCCCTGCTTTGTAGGGCCGATAAGAATACAAGAACACATTTAATAATGTTATTCATATAGGCATATTTAATGTTAACTATTTAAATAAATGAAGAAAATTAATTTAGTGTTATTTAATTAGTTAATTTAACTTAACTAATTAACTATGGTAAATCAATTAATTTGTTAATTTAGTTAATACTTAAATTATATTAATTATTCAAATTTTAAAACAAATAATTGTACAATTACAAATAATAACTTTAAAATAATTAATAAAATCTTAACAAATACATTTAACTAAGACATTTTAACAAGTGTATACTATTAGAGGGGTTAAGGGAATTGGGAGAGAGATGGGAGGAAGCGATTGAATTCTTGGAGAGAGATTGAGAGGAGAAAATGTTTTAAAATATTAGTTATCTTTCGTTCCATGGATTTCAATTGAGATGTTAAAGAGGTGTAGATGAAAAGGCCTAGCTTGGTCCAAAAATTCTAGGCTTGGTCTTAAATTTTTTCTTTACACTTGGTTTGGGCCTGGCCCTACAAACTTTTAGCCCAAGCTTTGGTCCAATATTGTAGCCCAACCTGAGGTCACATTAGATTCACAAATTTCCAATTCAATGTATATAATTTTAGATCTGTCTCCAAATTAATTCGTGATTAGGTGGAACTGGCTCCGGCCCGATAAGAATGGAGACAATATATCATGAACCGAAAACTGAACTGACCCAATCAGTTTGAGCCCATCAGGTTCAACCCGACCATTGATTAAGGATGTAGATGGACCGGATTCGAATAAGGGGTATATCTGAATCCGATATAACACTATTAATTGTAGATCCAATCCGAAGATCTGATCGGATATGATAAAACATGGGTTTGAATTTGAATTTATTGAGGAAGTCAGATTTTAGATATGATCCAATCCGATTTAATTTTTAAATTAATAAATTATTAAAATATAACAATTTAAATAAAGAAAAACAAAAACTACAAGTATCTTTTCAACTATTTCCATCATATATACATGTTTTCTTATAAAAAAATAATATATCAAATTTACAAAAATGCAATACAAATAATATATTTATATTTTGTGATTGGGTGGAACAAGCCCTGACCCAATAAGAATCGGGTTAATATATTAGGAACCGAATCCAAATTGACCCAATTGGTTTAGGTCCATCAGGTCCAACCCGAACCATTGACAGCCCTAGAGATAAAGAGGCAATAAATGAAAAGTATAAAGAGAGTAATAACAATGTTGTGGCAATATTGTAATTACATGTTGATGGCACTCTTCTAATTACATGACAACTTAACGTCATATGCGTAACTAAAAAATAGACAATAATTTTTTTCAATGGAACTTTTTTAATTAATAGAAAATTTAAAGAGATAAATAATGACACTTTTGTAATTAGAAAAAATTAAAGGAAAAAAAAATAATGAAATTTTTGTAATTAGCAAATGCTCCTGAATATCACACATTGGTTTTACACGAGAGTTAATGGTTTGTTTGGTTGCTGAGATATATTGGGATGAGAAAGTAAAATTTTATTTTCTCGTTTTTTGTCACTATGTTTGTTTGCTGAGACCCACTATCCTATAGAATCTGCTTTCAGCGTTTGATTTTAGCCCATTTGGACAAATATATTCATTCTCCAACTACGCATCACAACCCCATTTATGGGTGACATGGCATAGTACTATTTGAACCTTGACATGTGGCATGCTAAGATGGCAATATTAAAAACAACATGGGCATTGAAAATATAGCATACTCGTAGTATTTAGTTAGCAAAAGTAGCTCTCTCTCTCTCTCCCTCTCATAAACTATCTTAATCCAAACCATCCAATGTGTTGTTTCATTTTTCAAGGCTTGAAATTGAATAGCCTCAAGGATAGTTGTGCATTGAATATGTAGCCAGTTAGAAATCAATGACCTAGGAGAAGGTAAGGTTTCACTAAACTACACCATGTGTAGATAAGCAGGAAAATACTGATTGCAGTATGAGAGCTAGCAGCTATCCTATGCTGAAAAGTGCCAAGGTATTAGTTTGTAACCACTCCACCACACTCAGCACCCTGGATATAGGAATCAACATTAGGTAATGGCCCTGAGCTAAGGCTGCACTTAATTTGACATAATTGATCCATGCAAAGGCTGCAAAATCAATATTGCAAAAGAACAAAGAATCCCTCAACCCTTTGGCACCCGGGTCAACAGTCAGCAAGGCTATTAGCAAAATTAGAAAATTGGAATCAAGGAGAACAATATCTCCTATAAGCCAAGGCTCTAGTCTTAAATTTCAATTCCAGAGATATTCCAAGGATAAGCAGAAAGTGAATTGATCTATTGAACCCCAATTTGGTATCATGTGTTGTGCAAAATATATTTGTTAGCTGGCCCATATGTGATCTATTGAACAACTTACCTATTAAGAATCAGAGGTTGAGAACCTCAATGATTGTATTTTAACAAACCAATCTTCAAGATTTGCATTAATAAGATAAGAATCATTTGAAACAATAGAAATCATTTGCAAGAGATTCATCATTTGTTTCACTTGCACCAACAGAAACAAATAAATATAGAGACATGCTCAAGTTACATGCATTAAAAAGATAAGAATCAATAGAAAAAAAAAACTGTTGTAATATTCGATGGGAAAAAATCTCTCACAAATTTGTATCAATAAACTTAAAACCCAACATAATACAATGTTATTATACCAAACACTTTATAAGGAAGGATAAAATTATTTTTTTAACTAATCTCACCTGTTCAGGGATTGGCTAAACAAACAAACAAACAAAATCTCTTCGATTATAACCAGTTCAAGGGCTTCCAATTCGAATATAAGCTATATATGGGTAGAGAACTGAAAATATCAGCCAGTCTACCTCCGTAATGCCACAATGTTGTCTTCACTCAACAAAGAAAACTTATTTCTTAACAGTTGTCACATGTTTTAGAAGCATGTCCGTAACATCATTGGATACCCTTCCAGCCTCTGATTTCAAGTACTGAATCTTACCGTCAGTCTCTTGTTGTAGGCGTTTAACATTAGCACCAGAATCTCCACTGGACTCTGCAACTTTTTTCTGAAATTCAGCCTCCATTTCAGCACGGTATGTAGCAATCTCCCTATTGGCCTCTTCTTTTGCTTGTTTAAGCCTGGACGTTTTTGCATTTTTGGCATCATTTACAATATTTAGGGCTTCTTGTTCTGCAGCTAGCAAGAGCTGAATGCCATTGTGACTCCTGTTGGGATTCATCCTTCCCCACAAACACTACTGCACTTAATTCTTTAGAAGAGGCGTCGACGATGATTAAATGGAAGAAGAGGAAGACAGAGAGAGGTGTTGGGTGTTCTTATTAGTTTGGCTTTGGCAACGTTAAGAATTAAGCATGGGTGCTCACTAAAACCACCAAAGTTATTCAATTCTAGGGAACTAACCATACGTCTATACCCGCGCTTTGCGGTGCGGTTTAGTTGTTGTAGACTAATGAGACACTGGTGCCTACGAATCCGATACCGGCCCTACATCTATCAGACTACCAATTCTAACCCATAAGACATGAGTTGTTTTAGCTGAACACGTTGAAGAAGGCCACTAAAAGAACTTTCGTTCAAAAATCCACGTAAGTGGTTGTAAAATAAGTCTACATTATAACATATTGACTTAAATTATGTAGAAGTAATAATAATTTGTATGGCAAAAAAATAGTAGAAAAAATATATCAAATATAAAGTTAAATACATTTGTTAAGAATATCAAATTTTTAAGAAAAAATAAAAAACTAGCGGGTGTGCCCTTGCGTTGCAGAAAAATGCGTCATATTTAATTTTAAACATAAGTAATTGTGTGAAACCTCACAACCGAAGTGCATTACAACTTTAACAATAATAATAATAATAATAATAATAAATTAGATAAGTTATTATTAATATAAATTAGATAATAATTTATTTTATGATTTTTAAAAGTTTAAGTAATTGTTATTTAGCTTTTGTTATTATTAAATAACTGTTGTCATTATCTAAATAGTTACTATAATTTAGTAATTAAGTAACTAATTTTGAACAATTAATTAGTTTGTTTATTCAAATTAAACAATTAATCCAAATTAAATAATTTAATTTTGTGATTTTAATTATGAAGCCATTATTTTTCTATTATTTTATTAATAAGTAATTATTATTTTAATTATAAAATCAAAATCTTTTCGATGAAATCCTGCATAAAATGAATTGTAGCGAAGACTTAGATGAAATCCTGCTTACGGGTTGAGCGAAGGGTTTATGGGTTTTAACCAATCCGGACTATAGGAAACCAGCCCATATCCAGTATCAATTTTTAATTTCAAGGCTGTAGATATTGTGACCTATTCACACAAACTCAAGTATATTTTTTAAATAATATTTGATTAAAAATATGTTTTTTTTTTCACTACATCCTATTCTTCCTAATAGCACCATCTAAGTAAACTGTAAATAAATTATAGTAAGCTGTAAAAAATTAAAAAAAAAAGTTCAGAATTAAAAATTAAAACCTAACCAACCAACCTCATATCTTCAAATTTTTGTTCTAGTGGTATAAATCAGTAACTTGCTTCGTAATACAATTGAATTTATTTTTCTTTTCCCTTTCTTGACACATGTGTCTCTGGTTTTTGATTGTGTGTGGTTGGTTCTTGATACAATTGAATATATCGTAGGTGATAGAAATGCTAAAGAGAATTCCACCGGATAGAAGCTAATTAGATTCTTACTTTAAAAAAAAAATTAGAGAAGGTATAGTAAAGTTATACTTAGTGAGGAATGAGCTTGGAGTGGAGTGTCGAGGCATTGTGTCACTTAAGAGAGAGAAGCTTCAATAATCAGAAGAGTAGACAGAAAGCGACAGAGGCTTTGCGCATACAATAAGAGGCAAGTGAGGGTGTGATTTGAATTACGATGTCAAACTTATAGAGGAATTTTAAAGCACGGCCCGACCCGATTTATATATTTAAAAAAAAAATTCAGTTTTTCACTTTTCCAAATTAACTTAAAGACTAACAATTTTTTCCAAATTAGCTTAAAAGCTATTATAATTTTAGCCTAAAAAGGTATTCAATATATTTAGATGCAAATTGAATGGTACCATTCATCTTCTAGCATTTTACAAAGCTAACTGCCACTGGATAAAGTTCATTGTTTTTTTTTTTTTGAACATATAATATCAAAATATCATTAACGAGAAACAAAGTCTGCATACAACAGAGAGGAAATAGCTAGAGGAGGGTTTGTTATCCAACCTACATATTGAGCACTATTAAAAGCTAATTTTGATAAAAAATCTGCAACAGAATTTGCAGCCCTCCTAATGATAAAAAACTTTACATCAACAAAATGAGTCATCTTAAACTTTACATCATTGTTCAATTTAATACACTTGTTCAAGATTTCAAGCGTATTGTAATTGAACAAATACAAAAACATTCATCACAAAATAAATGGTTCTAATATCCAAAAAGTTACAAATTTTTCAGGACCCTTCCACTTCATTCCTCAAAAATCATCTCAAGATGAATCTATTTATAAACAGGTATCAACTTGAGCTCCCCATTGGGACCCTTGCTCATGTTAAACTTTTCAAAGCGAGGATATACTTTAGGTTTTGGTGACAATCTTCCCACCTTTCTTGGAGGCAATGTTGCCTCCAAGTCCTCATTGGAGTCGTTATCCGACTCCTGTTGTTGCTGCTTCTGAGGTCTTAAAGCCTCTTGTATGAAGGCAGAAACACTAGGATATCGGGTCGATAGAAACCACACCGCCAGTAATAAAAGAAGGCCAATAAATTAGCCAACAAGAAACGCAAGAGATGCCATCTGAAAAAGGACATTAGAGGTAAAGATTTTATAAGTATTATAATAATCAGATTTATTATTTAAAAAGTTTTAAAACTTTTAAAATATAGAGTTTTTATAGATTCTTCCACCTTATAAATTTTTATAAGCTTATACAGTTAAAAATAATGACAGTTGGGGAAATTTATCACAATACAAAATTGTACTATAGAATATGTGGAGATTTAAGATAATGCATTTAAAAAATCAATAAAAATTTGTGAAAATTATCTATGTATATAAAAGATATATGTATCAATGTATCCATATCTCGATGCACCATTTTAGATATGATATGTCTAATACAAGGTGTGTCGTATATATATTTTAATCATTGTAATTGATAAAACTCAAACACTTTATATTAAGTACTTAGTAATATTTAACATAGCACATGAACAATGCATAAAGTTAGTAGGTTTGGGATCATGTCAAAATTTTGTTGACTCATTTAATATGATTAATAAATATGGTGTAACATATAAAAAATAGGTAAATTACCTAATAACTTAAACTTTTAAGTTAAAAGTGATGTTCAACTCTTATGTGTAAGTCTTACATAAATGTGTTATTTTTGATTTTTTACAAATTTATATAAAACTGACACACTACCTATTAGATTAAAAGTGGGTATTCAACTCTTACGTTTACAATTCATAACAATTATACACTGTAATATTGTATACATATTTATTAATTTTTCATTTACATTACAAAACAATATTTCATCGGAATGTATTTTTTATATTGATATATCTTTATTACATCTTTGTATAAAAATATTATTATTTTATACATTACATTACACTTATAAATGATGAGACAATACATTCATAAAATTGTATTAATCAACCCAAAATACAAAATAATACAACGCTACCATATGACATATCCTAATTATTAAATAAAATCATTTTATGACATTATCTAAAATACTTTTATATTACTCTATTATTTTTGCAAGAAACACCACTATGTTAATTGTGTAAAGATATTTTTAGTAATTTCTTATTCGATTAAACTGATTAAAGAAAAAGTCGATATAACTTTTTAAACATAATTATACAATATTTTTACTTTTAGATCCCATTTATTATAAATAAGTAATAATTTCTTAAAAAGCTCTTAAATATTTTATAATGATAATGCATTTTATTACCATTTACCACATAATTTAACCAATTTTCTCCTTCATTGGTAAAATAATTTATCCACTTGAGAGATGAGCAACATTTTCGTAAATTATTAAAAGACTTGTAAGAAAATTACTTTACTGTAAAATCTATACTTATTAAAAATTAATGTAGGTAAATTGGTCAATTTTTCTATTAGCAATTTTTTATTTAAACTTAATATTAAATGAATAGGGCCTTAGAAAAAATAACATTTTGATCTGCTTTGCTTTGAAGATGTTTATCTTATGTTGCATTAAATAAATTATTTATTTCAAATTAAAATAAATACAAAGTAACAATTATGTATACTCACATACTTTCTTGATTTTCAAGGTAAAAATATTTTATTCGTAGTGGACACAGTATCAAACATCATTTTAATCATTTTAAGGTTTAATTTTTAGACAGTTACACCTATTTAAAAAAAAAACTTAAACCAATCCAAAATGTATAAAATTATTTTTACTTTAATAGTTGATTTTATAATTTTTTTTATGAGCTATTTTCAGAACAAATCATTTTTTAATGACCTTTTTATACTCTTAAAATTTTATTTTATAAGAAATTTGGGTTTTTAATGACCTTTCTATATGGGGCCCTATTTATAATATTTTCTCTTTAACTAATGTACTTTCATAAATCTACTATCTTATAGTAAAATTGATTTGATACTAATGTAATGGGATTTTTTGCTCTTACAACTCTCGAGCTTTGTAAAAAAACCACGTTTGCCATTTTATTATTTGATAGGCTAATTTAGACATCTCACTAAGTTGAAAAGGACATCCATCGTTTGTTCAAAAAATGTACAATGTTGTGACACCGTTCATAGTCCGTTTAATAATGAATAAAATAATAAGAAATGCTAATGTGGTGCTATAAAACTCAAAAAACTAAAAAATTACAAGTGGATCCCATTGAATAAAATAAAATTATTTAATGTATAATTAATAAATGTTGAAAATAATATATAAGTGTATCATACTTAAAATTATAAGTGAGTCCACTTGAAATTTTCTCACTTAAAATTTCCTCTTTTAAGAGAAAAATAATAGGTGAAAAGTGGGGCCCACCTATTATTTTTCTCTTAAAAGATGAAATATGAAGTAAAACCCACTTATATATTATTTTTAATATTTATTAATTATACATTAATTTTTTGAATTTAACAATATTACGTCAACATTTCATATTATTTTATTCATTATTTA